TACATAAACAAGATGGCTGACAGTGTACCAGGAAAACTTTTAGACTTTACAAATCAACCAAACAAGGAAGTAACAAGTGGCTATATATTTTGTGACCCTTGTTACCAAGATGGAGAGGAAAAGGAAGCAGAAGGATTCTGTGTGGAATGTCAGCATTACCTTTGTGGTCAATGCTTCAAGTACCATTGCCTTCCTAAACCGATGAAACATCACAAATTGCTAGGGAAGTCAGAAATGCCAAAGAGAAAGGTTGATGCAAGTCTCTCTGAAACCTGTTCACATCATGAGGGAGAGATGATTAAATATTACTGTAAAACACATGAGACAGTTGGCTGCAATTCTTGTATGATCATAAACCACAAACCATGCCTTGAAATCTGTACCCTCACAGATATTGCTAAAGATGTGGACATATCACCTGCATATAAAGAGTTCTGTACAAGAATGGAGGCAGCGAAGACTAACCTAGAGGATCAGATAAAAACAGCAAGAGAAAACATAGCAATAAGTAGATCTTGCAGAGAAACGGCTCTTTCTGAAATTAAAAAGTTACAGCAGAAAATCAACATGCAGTTTGAGTTGCAGAAGCAGGAACTTGCAAACGAATTGGAGGAAAAGGAGAATAATGAAGTTAAAAAATTGAAAGAAGTCGAAGATTCAGCCAATGATTCAAAGCATATTCTAGATAATCTGAAAGAAGATTTTCAAATTCTAGAGAAAACAAAACAAAGCAAACAGCTATTCGTTGCATTAAAGAAAAATCAAGAAAAACTAAACACTCTTGAACAAAAAGTGATTGATATACGAAATGAAAACAAATTGGACCAATATTGTTTTATTCCAAACAAGTTCCTGACAAGTATGCTGAGAAATGTAGATGCTCTTGGTGAACTGTGTGTAAAAGGGGAAACAGAAACAGAAGAGGATCTGAAAAGTTTCTATGGAAACTATCCTGAATATGGAATTCCAAAAGGATGCATTATATCAAATGAAAATTTTATCATACTAGACACAATTTACAATCGTATAAGGCTGTTTGCAGTAGATGAACATACACTGATAACAGAGAAAGACTTAACATCATGTCCATGGGATATTGCATCTATTGATGAAAACAAGTTTGCATTAACATTGCCAAATGAAAATAAAATCAAAATCATGTCTGTTGAAGATGAAGTCATTAAAGTGGAAGACAAAATCAGTGTTGATGCTAGATGTGAGGGAATACACTTTTCAGAGGACAAGCTGTATGTGGCATGCAGTAAACCTGCACAAGTTTTAATTCTGAATATGACAGGAACAATAATCCAATGTTATAGAAAAGATCAAGTAGGTGAGAAGTTGTTCAAGCAACCAGCTTATATATACTTCCATGATGAAAAGAAACTGATCTGTGTCTCTGACAGAAAGGCAAGCTGCATTGTAACTATGGCAACTGATGGGAGAATGCAAAAAGTATTCAGAAATAAAGATTGGAAAATGCCTCTAACAGTGATAGCAGATGACGATGGGATCTTAACTTCAGACTTCGAAAAAATGAAAACATCAAACATAAATTTAACTACAGGTGAATATCAAGAAGTTAAAGACTTAGGATTTTATTTTTGCAAATATTCAGAACGAGAGGAGGCAATATTAACAAGCTTCATGATCATAAGTGCAGATAAGATAGATAATCAATGAAACATTGATAATGACTAACATTTCAAAAAAAAAATTCTTATATATACTACTACTGACTGGTTTTACGTTTTTATAATTGGTGTAGAGCATTAAATGACTGTAACAAGCTATTTTTCATAATAACATAAAGTTTTAATCTCATAGTTGCCAATAGTACAGCATTGCAAAGAAATATGAAGTAAAACTAATCTTCTGTTGAGACTTGATTGTGTATCAGTCTTGTGGTTTTTAGTATGGTAACCATGTCAATGGTTACCATCATACACTCTGGACAAGATGCCTGAATTGTTTAGTTTAATTGGTTTATGTAACTAAATCATCCTTTACCATCATAAATATTTCAGGAATCAGTCTGTTTGATTCTGTTATGGTAACTTAGTCAATACTTGTCGTCATACATATAGAAGGTATTATTTTGTTAGTTAACACTAGGATAACTTCCAAATATGGAAATGCTGGTGCAGAATCTTCTATGGTGATTCAGAGTTTAAATTTAGCTTGAGACTTCTTATTTTGGGTTTAATAATGGAAATATTTTTAAACCTGTGGGCGCGATCTCTCGGAAGCATTAACTTCAACATTTCTACGATGACGATTCGCGATTGTACATGGCATTTAAACCAAAGGAAGCCATTTCACCCAATGAGACCTTGCGACAGATTGAAGCATGCCTGAATGACATCAAATAACTTTTTGAAGCTCAATGCGGATAAAACAGAGATAATTCTCTTTGTACCAAAACGAAGTGACGTTGAAGATCTTACTTTAAGAGTCGGTGATTCTATAATAAAACCATCAACAACAGTTAGGAACCTCGGCGCCGAACTGGACTCTCATTTAGACATGAAACAACATGTGAACTCAGTTTCTCGTTCATGCTTCATGAAAATTCGAAAAAAATAGGTCTAATATGGAAATACTTGACTGTTGATTCAACCAGAATCTTGATTAACTCGTTAGAAACATCGAAATTAGATAATGTAATTCGTCGCTATATGGATCTCCAAAGAACGTTCTCAACAAGCTCCAAAATGTTCAAAATACGGCTGTTCGTGTTATTACCAGGACACCGCGATACTGCCACATAGCCCCAGTTTTAAAGGAACTACATTGGCTCCCTGTGTACATCAGAGTCGAGTTCAAACTCCTTACATAAGTGTTTAAGGCTCTTCATGGACAGGACCTACGTTTATACGAAACGTGCTAGACATTTATATCTCATCCAGATAACTAAGGTCCCAGAATGATTGCTTAGCACTTGTTGTACCGCGTAGTAGGACTGTGACTTATGGTGATCGTGCTTTTATGACGGCAGCCCCTTAACTCTGGAATGCCCTACCTAGAACACTTATCAGCTGTGAAACTCTAATAGTGTTTAAGAGAGCACTTAAAACTCACTTATGTAAGAGATGTTATTTTGACTGATTATTTATTCTTAAGTCTTACCTGTATTTTAATATTTATGTGGGTCTTTTAACTTTTAAAACTACATTTGATTTGAATTTGTGACTTGAGCAATATTGATGTTTTAATTTGTTTTTTGTTTTTTTTTAATTGTATCATTAATTTGGTTATACTGTACAGTAATTTTGAACGTGGCAATGTGCATGAAAAAAGTGCTTAAGAAGTTTGGTATATAATAATAATAATAATAAAATATTCATGAACTTGTAAACCATGTGTGACGGGAAAAAACAGTGTAAATTTCAGAAGATATTAAAAACTTAGAAATAGTATGTATATCAATAAAAGTTAGAGCAATCAACACTGTTATGAGTGTTTTTTATCGGATGAGGGATTTTAATAGTAATTACGAGAGATTAAAAATTACAGTAAATATGGCGGGGTAGTTGTTATAACAGCATAAGGTGTGCGTATGTCTGATTAGGTAATTCTGCAGGTCATTTTTTGTCTTTCATACCAAGAAATTAGATTTCGTCACATATTTTTCATGTGCTCGTGCCATGTCATTTGACAGATAAATTTTGATAATGAAACTACCGTGTTTGATGAGCTATGACCTATATATCTCCCTTTGAAAATAAGTTTTAAGGGTATAACCAGCAACCCCTTCAATGCATACATTATTACGAATGGCCTAAAGATCTTACATTGTATAATCAGCATTTCAAGGTTTCCAGGAAACACAATACATTGAAAAAAGAGTGTGTTTTTTTTTTTCATTTCATAAAAGTTGTGTCCCTTCTACTGTGAATTCACTAATATTCATGGGCATGAAATTGTGTGGCTTTATCAAAACAGGCATATACGTAACTTCTTAAATTTCTGGACTTTCATTTATTTGTATAACAAGAGATGTGACTGAAAAGTGACTTACGCCCCCCCCCCGAAAGGAAGCTTTGACATAAAATCCGCATTCTATGCCAAAATTTTGGTAATATACGCTCGACCGCCTTTGATAAATATTATTCCCAAAATTATATTAGAAGTGTAGGAGAAATAGTCACTAAAAATTCATCCTCAAGGGCCCATTACTGTGTAAAAATCATTCATGCAACAATCGTGGCACAATCCATAACTAGACTTGGAAAATCAAAATACCATGCAAACAATTTTAAAGGTTTAATGAAATTGTTGAAAGTTGTTTTGGAGATGAAGTTTGAGATGAAGGATGGACAAAAGTAATTTACTGAAAAATCACGATACTATGCACAACTACGCTTGGAGACAAACAATCATGTGAAGTTACACTGAAATACCCCAGAGATTAGTGTTTTAGATTATACAGCATGTTATTCCATACATCACTTTTTCATAAATTAAAATCAATAATAAAAAAACAACTAAAATTCACTGTTTAAAATATATCTTTATTTGACATTATTTTCAAAGCAATAGAAATCACATCCCAAAATTTCAATTATTCACGAAGAAATCATCCCTGAGTCGGCTGACATAATTAGCAGTTTTTAACAGTATACATATTAAAGTGACATTATGCCTATCCCAGGGTATATAGTAAGTGAACTGGTGAAGATCAAAATAAGTTGTCATTGTGCCATAATTCCTGTTAAGTTAATAAATAAGTTCGCACAAACAATAAATAACGCACAGATCTAAACGAAATTTCTTTAAATATCCATTAGAATTTACCTATAACGCTTATTTTATAAAAAGAGTCGTGCAGTCTTTTTAAATTATAGGCAGATTTATAATTTTATCCTAAACATTTTTCCTACGGTATAGTGGGTAAATCAATAGCCAAATACCCTTGATAAAAGAAAAAAACTTTTGCTCTTCATTTGCAGCACATGTTATCAAAATACACCAGGGGCAATAATCATAACAAATATTGCTCTAAGTTTGCTTACTTCCATTTGATTATTAACCTTATAAGATACCATTATATAACTTATATTTAAAACATATAAACCTTAACAGAGGTCAGGACATAAATATTGATATCATAATTTCCAAAAAAACAGGTGACCCTTTGAGAAAGAACAATCAAAACAAATACAAATGTAGTAGAAAATCTCAGACTCAGGTTTTGTGGAGTCTGTTCATGAGGGGATCTGTTCCTGGGGCATAATCGGAACTGAGACATCTGTTGTGCTGGTATTCAAATCCAAACTTTATATAACAAGAATATAACAAAACCTTATTTAGAAGAACTTAATTTAGTAAATTAGCACCTGGAACATACAAAGAACATACCGTTAGTTGAAATAAAAAGAAACTTTTATAAAATTGCAAATTGCACCCTATTTACAAAATACAATATAAAAGAAAATTAAGCTTTTATTTTCATATTTCTTTATAATAAGGTAGAGAAAAAACAAATCTCTAGTGATATCTGCTAAAAATAGTAAAGATATAATTTATGGTATTTATATTTCAATAAAATCCTGTTTAACTTTTAACACTGCTGGGAGGAATATACAACAACAAAGTTTGCTAATGTTTCATTTTTTTCCTAAAAAATGTAACATCAATCCAAATCATATAATTTGACATTAAAAGGTTAAAATATTGTCAACACATTACAATCAATTAAATAATGCCACAAACTGTGCCGAAAAAAAAATTGTGCATTGTAAGTAGATGTATTAACTTTTCTTACTAAACATCACGAGTCTTATAAATTGTTGTCTTTACTATAATTATGTATTTTCTTATGAACGCCCTCAAGAAATAGTATTTTCCAAAAAGTGGGCTATAATTAAAGTACAAAAAAGGTTCAAAATTAAAATGATCTACTGTTCACTGGGTTATATATAATGCAAAGATGCAGTATTAAACGTTGTGTTGTTTACTTTGGATTTCTTAAAAACTGCTAATAAATGGATTTCTTTGCCTATCTCTAGAAGGGTAGGGGAGAGGAACATTTATTAGAGAATATAAATTCTTACATTTTACTTATAGATTTTAAGTTGTTTTAAGACAGGAAAAACACTTTACTAATTATAGAAGAGGTAGGAAATAAAGTGTATAGAAGAGGTAGGAAATAAAGTGTATTATTCAATGCCTTTAAGGTAAAATTACAGTATTACATGAAATAATTAATGATAAAAATAACAGACATAACTAGAACACCTGTAGTGATGTTTTGTGGAGATAATATAGTAGAAACTGTTTATGGAATAGTGTATTTATCAGAGGCATATACATTATATACACCACCCCCTTGTCCAGACTTATCATCTTGCACTTGACCTAACCACATCTTTAGCAGATTTTTTTCTGACTGTCGAGCATCTAAAACAGAGGGTGGGTCAAGAGGATTGGCTGCGCGTAAATCTAGATGGTGCGCACCAGACTCTATCAACAATGGCACAATGGAAGAAGATGGACTTGTGGTTACGCCACCAGATGACCAGGGGTCAAGAGCTCCGTTACTGAAATGACATAATATCATGTAAAAGTGTGTATACTGTGACCGTTCTAATCTGTAATATCATTGTATCTACAGCTGCCTCTTTTGGTATTACACAGCTGATTACATTATATATGTTTTAATTTGTATGACATTTTTCTTCATTTGTTACCTGCCTCACCGTTTCTTCTGCTGAATTTAAGTAAAATACTTATCCTGTTTTGAATTTGGAAGTGTTCATTTAATGATTTTGGGATTTTAATTTAACTACAAACTGTATAGAGCCCATTATTGTAATGTATTATTGTAAAATGCAAAAATTGAGCTGCCAACGGTATAGAGCCTGATCAAACTGAACAGATGTGCAGGCTGGTCTAGCTCTATACTGGTGGCAACGGCTAATCACTTCATGTTAATACAGGTTAAAAGCTATAATATACTTGAAGGGGCTAATGAGTTACCTGTCTATTTACACTGCCTGAGTCCTGAGAGTCAAATAGATATGACCAATGTCAGTTTGAACTCAAAATATTTTAATAATAACAAGAGCGATCAGTAATCACATATGTCGCCTCATGATGGCCAACTTCATGTTGGGACAAATTTTGTGACAGACAGACAGACAGACAGTGCACAACTAGACTTGGTACTGATCATTCCTGTAAAGTTTGGATAAAATTGCACCAGTAGTTTATGAGGAGTAGTCCGGACAAGCTTTTGCGTATCTGGCAACACACAGAAAAAACACCTTTTTATCTAAGGACCATAACTCGGCCAAAAATCATTCAACCAGAAAACCCGTGCAATATGCGCATGGACTTAAGCTACAGATCAATTCTGTAAAGTTTCATTGAAATTGCGTTAGTGGTATAAGAGAAGTAGTCCGGACAAACTTTAAAAATAAAAATTATTAAAGGGCCATAACTCTGACAAAAATGATTGAACCGGAAAATGCTGACAATATGCACAACTAGACTTGGTACTGATCATTCCTGTAAAGTTTGGATGAAATTGTACCAGTAGTTTATGGGGAGTAGTCCGGACAAGCTTTTGTGTATCTGGCAACACACAGAAAAAAACACCTTTTTATCAAAGGGCCATAACTCGGCCAAAAATCATTCAACCGGAAAACCCGTGCAATAAGCGCAAGGACTTGAGCTATAGATCAATCCTGTAAAGTTTCATTGAAATCGCATCAGTGGTATAGGAGAAGATGTCCGGACAAACTTTAAAATTAAAAATTATTAAAGGGCCATAACTCTGACAAAAATCATTTAACCGGAAAATGCTGACAATATGCACAACTAGACTTGGTACTGATCATTCCTGTAAAGTTTGGATGAAATTGCACCAGTAGTTTAAGAGGAGTAGTCCGGACAAGTTTTGTGACGGACAGACAGACAGACGGACAGACAGACGACGGAGAAGTGATCCCTATTTGTCGCCACTACTTCGTAGAGGCGACACAAAAAGAAAGATAAGATCCATGATTTTTATGCTTTATGAAATAACATTTGTTACATCAGTAAGTAAATTAAAATGATCAACAGCATTAATCTTTGACCTTACGACATTTATCCATCAAGTTCAAAATAATTATATTTTGTTTGATAACATGTTATAGCAACCTCTACAGAAAAAAAATCATATATAAAACTTGAATAACTGAAAATAAAATATCAAAGAATAAGTTTTAATCGGACATCAGTATGCTTGGTTTTGAGTGATCTGCTCTTGAAAACAAGCAAAAACTTGCTTTCAGGGACAGATAACTCAATATAATAATGGTGACCCACGTTTTATTTCAATTGGTTTCAGTCATAATACTCTTTTTATGCAAATTTCTATGAAATTCTGTTCACTAGGTTAAATTTTCATTCTCTACCTCTGTACAAAATCACAGATATATATACAATAGTGAATATATATGTATATTTAGCTCCATGAAAACCTAAAATGAAACACCTTCAAGTGATTTTTAACATAAGCAAAACCTTTTGTAGTTGTATGTTCTCAAATTTGAAACTTGGTAAGAAATAAAATAAACAAACCTAAATATAATATTACTGGCTGTTTCTAAACTTTTGCCCCAGTACTCAGAAACTATCCAGTTTTGTCTGGGATATGTTTTCCATCTTTTATGACATTGCTCACTAAACTGTGTAAAGTTCCAGGGACTTGGCTCAAACATATCTTGTTTGCCATCAGCACATATTGGCATTACCATCTCAGTGCAGCTCTAAAACAAATGTAGAAGTATTTGATATATAAAATTATTTAACTAATTCTTGAATAACTTTGTAAATCATCAAATTTTCATACATAAGTCTGGACAATCCACACAGAAATAACATTGACACTTAAAAAAGAAGAGAAATTGAGGTGTGACAGAATTAACAAGGGTTTAAAAATGTGTAACGCTATATATTATACTGCCTGCAGTTTACAAGTGTTGTTAGAATTTTTAAAAAATAAAAGTTTAAAAATACCCGTATAAAAAAATATGTTGGTATATTTCCTTATTAGCAAATGGAGAATGCACAAAATCATTGCTAAACAATTAAAATCCTATTTAAGATAGCATTATAATATTTTGTTCCTGAACATTTGATTCTGTTACAGTAAAGTTTTCATTTGTGTTATACATGCATAATAGAAACATTCTTTGTTACAACTCTTTGGATAATCAACCATAAGAATATGAACAACATATGGAAACAGCATACATTTACCATTTAACCGTTTTTACAATTTATAATAAGATTTCATTACACATAGCTCTTCATACCTCTTTGTATTTTAGTTGCAATCATAAAAGCGCAACTCACAACAGTAATAAGAAAATACTTCATATCTTTGACAATAGTACAACATATACAGATTACACAATTCATGAAGAAACAACTTATTCTTCAACATACAGGACTTCAATTTATTCAGACAGTCTTTCTGTTAATCTTAATTTAAGTCAGCAATGTAGATTAAAGAAGAACTATATCTGAATCAAACTGGTATTCCATCCAACGTCCTTGATAGAAGACAACTTGTATAGGTAAAAAAACGAGTAACTTCAATGACATGTAAACAGACATCATAAGAAATTGTCTCTGGTCAAATAAAAAGACAAATTTTTACATGTGTTTCTTTGTATTGTTGGCTTTCAACTCACAACAGTGTTATAAAGATCATATGAATACTTTCTAGCCTCATTGATGGAGGAAGACCTCAAAAGAACCACTAACATTTTGTAAGCTAGCTGGATAGCTTCCTTACATGAACTAATCAAACTTTAAACCCTCAACATAAGGGAAATTGATTTGAAGTCCGCAACTTTATACACAAAAAGTTACTGTGACCTAATAACCCCAATATCATCAATATTCATATGCTGCCCAAGGGATGTCTCCATGCCAGTTTGCATTAACAACATCTTATTATTTTATTTTTTTGGGACAAAGATAATTTATCCCATAATAGCTTTATTAAACGTTTATGATCTTAACACAGTCAGCTCGGGAAGCATAAGATACACATTATATATTAAAACGTGACATCTTCTGCTTTAAATTATATAAAATAAAGTCAGATTTTAAATGAATAAAATGGCAGACAGTGTACCTGGGAAAGTTTCAGACTTTACAAATCAACCAAATAAGGATGTAAAAAGTTGCTCATTATTTTGTGACCCTTGTTACCAAGATGGAGAAAACAAGGAAGCTGAAGGATTCTGTGTGGAATGTCAGCATTACCTTTGTGATCAATGCTTCAAGTATCATTGCCTTCCTAAACCGATGAAACATCACAAATTGCTAGGGAAGTCAGAAATGCCAAAAAGAAAGGTTGATGAAAGTCTCTCTGAAACCTGTTCACATCATGAGGGAGAGATGATTAAATATTACTGTAAAACACATGAGACAGTTGGCTGCAACTCTTGTATGATCATACATCACAAACCATGCCTGGAAATCTGTACCCTCACAGATATTGCTAAGGATGTGGACACACCACCTGCATACAAAGAATTCTGTACAAGAATGGAGACAACCAAGACCAATCTAGAGGATCAGATAAAAACTGCAAGAGAAAACATAGCAATAAGTAGATCATGCAGAGAAATGGCTCTTTCTGAAATCCAAAAGTTACAGCAGGAAATCAACATGCAGTTTGAGTTGCAGAAGCAGGAACTTGCAAAAGAAGCTGAGGAAAAAGAGAATAATGAAGTTGCAAAACTGAAAGAAGTTGAAGATTCAGCCAATAATACAAAAAATGTCCTACATAAAATGAAAGAAGATTTAAAATACTAGAGGGAACAAAACAAAGCAAACAACTATTCATTGCATTAAAGAACAAGAGCTGTCCGTAAGACAGCGCGCTCGACTTTTTTATTGCTTGCCAATAAAAAAAGTTTTTGCAGTAAAAGGCAATACAAGAATCTCTGTATTTTTAAAGTGAACAATGGCCATGAGCATTAAGATATTTAGTGAAGAATTATTTTACTGAATTGTGTAACTTGTCCACCAATCAAATAGGCGAGATAAAATGTGAAATATGCATATACTACTGATTTTAATTTCAAGTACAAAAAGAGAAAAATAACTAGTTGTTTGATACCCTTGAATATTACAGCAATGTTTATATGACATAATTTATGGTAAAGTGAACAAGTGGATAGGAATGAATTTTTTTAGATTTTTTAAGTTTTTTAGTGCTTGCCTATAATACAAAACATTGACAGTTAAGGGCCATAATTCAAATAAAATCTTTGACAGAATTACCTTCTCCTGGACATGTTTGGGAATCATGATTGTAAACAAGTATTCCAACTTTCAAATTAATATCTCAAACAGTTCAGTCAAAAAGTGGACTGGTACTAAAAACTTAACCAAGATTCTAAGTCGATAAAAGGCCTTAATTTTTAAAACAAATCCTTGACAGAGTTACCTTCTCTTGCGTACAGATGGGGGTAATGATGTGAAATAGAAATAAAAGTTTCAAAGAAATATCTCAAAGGGTTAAGGCAATAAGTGGATTTTACCCATATTCAATGTATTTTCTAAGTCAAAAAGGGGCATAATTCTGTCAAAAACCTTGACAGAGTTATGTCCTCTTGTCTGTTGATGAAGGTCGTGATGGTAAACAAGTATGGTCAGTTTCAAAGCAATACCTCCAATGGTTTTGAAATAAAGTGAGGTGGTACAAAAAACTTAACCAAGCTCAATACACTTTCTAAGTCAAAAAAGGGCCATAATTCTGTCAAAAACCTTGACAGAGTTATGTACTCTTGTCTGTAGATGGAGGTTATGATGGTGAACAAGTATGGTAAGTTTCAAAGCCATACTTGTAATACTTCTGAAATAAAGTGGGGTGGTACGAAAAACTTAACCAAGGTGTGACGCCAACGCTAACGCCGACGCCGACGCCGGGGCGAGTAGGATAGCTCCCCTTTTCATAGAAAAGTCGAGCTAAAAATGAAGTAAAATTTAAAACTCTTGAACAAAAAGTGGCGGATATACAAAAAGAAAACAAAGTGGACAAATATTCTTTTATTCCAAACAAGCTTCTCACAAGTATGCTGAAAAATATTGATGCTCTTGGTGAACTGCGTGTACAAAAGGAAGAAGAATCAGAGGAGGATCTGAAGAGTTTCTATGGAAACTATCCTGAATATGGAATGCCAAGAGGATGCCCAATATCAGATAAAAATGTAATCATACTAGATACAATTTACAATCGTGTAAGGCTGTTTGCAATAGATGAACAAACATTGGTAACACAGAAAGAATTAACATCATGTCCATGGGATATTGCATCTATTGATGAAAGCAAGTTTGCATTAACATTGCCAATTGAAAATAAAATCAAAATCATGTCTGTTGAAGAAGAAAACATTACAGATGGAGAAGAAATCAGTGTTGATGCTAGATGTGAGGGTATACACTATGCAGGAGATAAACTGTATGTGGCATGCAGTAAACCTGCACAAGTTTTAATTCTAAATATAACAGGAACAATAATCCAATGTTATACAAAAGATCAAGCAGGCGAGCAGTTGTTCCAGCAACCAGCTTATATATCCTTCCATGATGAAATGCAACTGATCTGTGTCTCTGACAGAAAGGCAAGCTGCATTGTAACTGTGGCAACTGATGGCAAAGTGCAAAATGTCTTCAGAAAAGAAGATTGGAAAATGCCTCTAACAGTTAATATAAAAGACGATAAGATCTTAACTTCAGACTTTCAAAAAATAAACACATCAACCGTAGATTTATCCTCTGGTAAAATTGTCATTGATGAAAAATTTGGATATATATCTATAAAGAAATCTGATGGAATATCAAAGTCATTTACATGTTTATTTTCTACAATGGACTAAGACTCTGATGATGAATAAAACAACAACATTGACTGTTACTACATAATGAATAAAAACATAAACATTGACTTATATTACATGATGATAAATACCGTAGAACATAAATATTAACTTATACATGTACATGTATTAACTGATGATACATAAAACATGTACACTGGCTTATATAAGAAAAGACAATGTTTTTTTTTTCTTAAATATACATGTATATTCAAATAATGCATATTATTGTTTAAATTACTTATTTCTGATAATTAGTGAAAAAACTTGAGATAACTCACACGACAATCGTAATTTATATTGCATATAAATGTGTTTATGTTTTATTAGTCCCCATCACTATTTTCTATTTCTAGCTTATATTGCAAGTTTATTAATCTGTTCCACATGTCTGGAATATACAACTGTACTTTCTTTGATTTAATGACTGCCAAATAACAGATGTAGCACTTTTATTTGGCTTGGTTTGATTAAGTTGTAATGAAGTACACAAAAATATTCCATTCAATGAAATATGTGCGATTGACAATGTCTATACATTATCATTTTCATTGGAACTGGGATAACATTTGTAGTTAAACACTGCAATACTTTTATTCCCTGCAGACTCCAGGTATTGGTACGCAATTAATTTTAAAGGCATAGAGGAGTACGTGACCTTTTTTCAGTACAATAAATTGGAGGAGCACGTGATCTGTAAACCGTATATAATTGGTTTATTGACATTTTCGAAAACCTAGCTAAACGCTGTTTTATTCAAATGAAGATTTATGAAACTTTGGCTTTTAAGCATCTCCATGACCCATAAAGCTTCCTCTAAAATTTGTTTTGTGAGGGTATAACCAGCTACAAACATGTAGTCTTACATTATAATGACTGGATCAAAGGTTCAACATTGTATAATTAGCACATCAAGGTTTCTTATTATAATAATACTATGGAGAAAGCCAGTGTTTTTTTTTATTTCATAAAAGTTGCCCCCCTTTATTTGGTAGAACTTCTATTTTATAAAGGGTTGTTTCCTTTACTTCAGAATATAATTACATCAATTTTACATGATAATTTTCTCAAAACTCTTGAAAAACCTCATAGAAAAGAACTTACTTGATAGTCCCATCCTTGATCTCCCAGGTCAGACGTGGCTTGCTGTGTGGTGTTTAGACAGCTAGCCTGACCACTGTAGTTGAAATATATCTTTACAGCTTCTGATAGATCTGACAACAGCTGTTTACCTTCCACTGGCAGAGTCAACTTACTGCAAACTGCCTGAATGACAAAGAAACAAAGATGCATTCAAAATTTATAATTATTATTTAAGGAATGATCAAATTGAGTAAAGCAAACAATTTCTTTTCTCACAGAAATTGAAATATTTGAAGGCATAGACACTCATATTCATATCAGTGAACATGTACTGGCTACCTTGACATCCACTCTTTCCAAGAGGCTGCAGAAGCCTATTGTCATTGATGTAAGTGGCAAGACCTTGTTTCACAATCAAGCATAAATAAAATTATCACATAAACAGTGGTGCAGTAATGTAGTACAGCCATTTACTAATAACGATAATAGATCTACATTACTGTAATAACTTAGCAACATGACATCATTCGAGTTATACAAACATATCTTAAATGTGTGTTAATGTAAGTAGTGTTCCACTATAAGCACACCAGCATGTCAGTACGACAGCATGCTTGACTATTCCCATAGCTTGATATTGAAACAAAAGTCTGGATGATGTAGAATTTTTCTAAGTTCAACAAGATTGCATTTGAGATAAATGCTATGCCACCGCATTAATACAACACTAAACAGTAGTGTAGGAACAGATTTTTTTTGTTTCTATACAATTTTGAAGATTGTCATAATGCATAGATCCCTGACCTATCTAATTCTTATTATCAGATTAGTGGTTAAATCTGTTGTTAACTCAATAAAAGATCAGAGTAGGAATATATCAATGCACTCGAGTCTAGTGAATTTGGTGGTGAAGTCATATTTCACACAACAACACAGTAAGACACTTTGTCAAAATCTAGGTCAGCTGAAATCAAAGTTCACTTTACATCTTAATCTGTGCACATGGTTCAAATTTCATAGCTGTACATCAAAGGATAAGAAAGTAGGTCACATCATCAAAATCTAGGTCACCTGATATCAAAGTTCAATTTTACAACTAAAACTGTGCACATGGTCAAAATTTCATTGCTGTACATCAAAGGACAAGAAAAGTAGGTCACTGTCCCCTTGGGCAAGGCAAAATTTTGGACCCAAGGGTTTAATTCAAAACAATCTTGATACAGGTCCACCAAACAACATTTAAAGTCAAATATCTAAGCTGTAGCTTTCTCCCGTTCAGAAAACATTTGTTTTATTTTCTGTTTTTACTATGCGTACATAATGAGAATCACTGCCCCCGGGCAGGGCCAATTTTGACACCAGGGGAAAAATTTTAACAACTTTGGTAGAGGACCTATAGATGATATTATATAGCAAACTAGAACTATCACTAAATGTGATTAATACCCCCACAAGACTGCTTCGGAAATGAGGATGTTACTAGTAACAGAATACCTTGTAAAAGAATTGAAATATAGAGTTATGGTTGTGGGCAATTAAAGATAGTTGTGGTTCTTGTATATTGCATTTCCTTTCAATGTGGTTGACCATTGAAGAAGTTTTATTGAATTACTCTGTAATAAGTCCAGAAATACAAAGAAAAGGAACAAAGGGCAATAACTCTATAAATACTGAAGATGGAGTTATAGTTCTTGTGCACTGCACTTCCTCCCTCTTTTTGTGCTTGACCATTGTATGAAGTTGTTTTGAATTTCAACCAGTACGTTTTAAGTTATGCTCCAGACAAGGAAAAGTATCAAAGGGCAGTAACTCTGTATTTTGTCAAAATGGAGTTATGGCTCTTATGCACTGCACTTCCTTTTAATGTCCTTGACAACTTTATGAAGTTGTATTGAATTCCAAACAGTAGTTTTCAAGTTATGCTCTGGACAAGGAAAAGGAACAAAGGGCAGTTACTCTGTAATTTGTCAAGATGGAGTTATGGTTCTTGTGCACTGCACTTTCTCTCAATGTGCTTGACCATTGTATGAAGTTATATTGAATTCCAACCATTAGTCTTCAAGTTATGCTCCGGACAAAAAAAAAGCAATGGAAAAGTAACAAAGGGCAGTAACTCTGTAATTAGTCAAGATGGAGTTATGGTTCTTGTGCACTGCACTTCCTCTCAATGTGCTTGACCATTGTATGAAGTTATAATGAATTCCAACAATTAGTCTTCAAGTTATACTCCAGACAAAAGAAAGCAATGGAAAAGTAACAAAGGGCAATAACTCTGTAATTACTTTAGATAGAGTTATGGTTCTTGTGCACTGCACTTTCCCTTATTGTGTTTGACAATTGTATGAAGTTGTTTTGAATTCCAACCAGTAGTGTTCAAGTTATGCCCCGGACAAGGAAAAGTAACAAAGGGCAATAACTCTGTAATTAGTCAAGATAGAGTTATGGTTCTTGTGCACTGCACTTCCTCTCAATGTGCTTGACCATTGTATGTAGTTATATTGAATTCCAACCATTAGTCTTCAAGTTCTGGTCCGGACAAAAGAAAGCAATGGAAAAGTAACAAAGGGCAATAACTCTGTAATTACTTTAGATAGAGTTATGGTTCTTGTGCACTGCACTTCCCCTTATTGTGTTTGACAATTGTATGAAGTTGTTTTGAATTCCAACCAGTAGTGTTCAAGTTATGCCCCGGACAAGGAAAAGTAACAAAGGGCAATAACTCTGTAATTAGTCAAGATAGAGTTATGGTTCTTGTGCACTGCACTTCCTCTCAATGTGCTTGACCATTGTATGTAGTTATATTGAATTCCAACCATTAGTCTTCAAGTTATGGTCTGGACAAGGAAAATGCAACGGACGTCTGGACCGACCGACCGACCGACCGACCGACCGACCGCCCGACCGACCGACCAACCGACCACCGGGTGACTCCTATATACCCCCCCAAACTTCGTTTTTGGGGGTATAACAACAAAGCTCTATGCCTTGTACCTTCAGACAAAAATATTTTTTATTTTTTTACTATATGTACATAATGAAAATCAATGACCCCCGGGGCGGAACCAACTTTGACCTTAGGGCTATAATTTGAACAATCTTGGTAAAGGTTCACTTTGCAAAGTCTCGTGCCATATATTTAACCTCTAGCCTTTGTCAATTCAGAGAAGATTTTTCAATTCAGAGAAGAAAATTTTTCAATTCAGAGAAGAAAATTTTTCAAGTTTTTACTTTATACATATAAGGAAAACTATCGCCTCTGGGGCAGGGCAATTTTAACACTCGGGGCATAATTAAAACAACTTTAGTAGAGGACCCATTGATGATATTATATACAAAATATTAAAGCTCTAAGCTTTGTACCTACTACCCAGAAGATTTTTTATTTTTTTACTATATGTACATAGTGAAAATCAATGACCCTGGGGGTGGGGCCAATTTTGACTCCAGGGCTATAATTTGAACAATCTTGCTAGAGGTTCACTACATAATGTTTCAAGCAAAATATCTTAACTCTATCCTTTGTAAATTTAGAGAAGATGATTTTTTAAGTTATTACTATATACATATAAGGAAAACCTATGGCCCCCGGGGCGGGGCTAATTTTGACACTAGAGGCAAAATTTGAACAACTTTGGTAGAGTACCTATAGATGATATCATTTAACAAATATTAAAGCTCTAAGCCTTGTACCTTCAGACAATAAGATTTTTTACTATATGTATATATTGAAAATCAATGACCCCCGGGGCGGGGACAATTTTGACCCCAGGGCTATAATTTGAACAATCTTGCTAGAAGTTCACTTCACAATGTTTCATTTAAAATATCTAACCTCTAGCATTTGTCAATTGCTAGAAGAAATTTTTTTTAAGTTTTTACTACATACATATAAGGAAAAAAAACAATGACCCACGGGGCGGGCCGATTTTAACCCCAGGGCTATAATTTGAACAATCTGGGTAGAGGTCTACCAGACAATGCCTTATGCGAAATGTCTAAGCTCTATGACTTTTGGGTCTTTACAAGAAGGTATTTTATGTTTTTACTATATGTACATATAGTGAAAATCAATGACCTCCGGAGCAAGGCCAATTTTGACCCCAGGGCTATTATTTGAACACTCTTGGTAGAGGTCTACCAGACAATGCCTTATGCAAAATATCTATGCTCTAGGCCTTGTGGGTCTTTACAAGAAGATTTTTAAAATTTATTCTTATAATTCCTTTATAGGTTACCATGGCAATTAGATTTCTGCATAGAATGAAATTCTTTGAACAACTTTGGAAGACCGTCACCAATCAATCCTGCCAAGTTTGGTTGAAATTGGACAAGTGGTTTTTCACAAGAAGTTTTTTAGGTTCACTATATAATCTATATAACACACACACACACAAACAAACACACACACACACACAGGTGAATCGCTATATGCCACCGCATCGCAGATGCTGCGGTGGCATAAAAAGGGCTACAATAGAATCTTATACTGTATTCATGTAGATTCATTACTTTTTTATTGACCTCACTGAAGAAAAAAAATATCATTCAACACTTTCAATACATTGAGTATTGAACCTACTGTAATTTAATATCCACAATATGTGTTTAAACAAAATAAATATTTAAATACATCAAGTGATATATAGAACTACTCACCTTAACTGGCCATGCTGGAAGAGGTTCAAGGAAATTAGCAGGGTATGGATAGTTGACCATGGACAGGTCAGTCCAGGCATTAGTCAGCCAGGCTTTAAAATTGTCCACATCAGAGCTGTGTGCTAGTGGTTTACATAGCTTGAATGTTGTGCTGATAAAATCTCTACCTTCCCCTGTATAATACAATAATTAATATAAAATAAAGTATTACTTTCATTATGTATTTAGTTTAAATCACTGTAAATTCATTTTATTATACCGTACATGATTTATTTACAATAAAACTTTATTTGACATCAGAGGCTAACACTCCATAATGTGACATTGCAACATTACCCATACATGTCATATCCCCAATCCCCACAAAATTCCCCAAGTTTTAACCTTGTTTTCATGATCTTCTAACATGGAATCAAATTCCCTCGATTTTCAAAAATCCAACCAACAAAATATTTAAAACATCATTTTTAACAGTAAAATATAATTTTATGATACACTATCATTTGAAGTAGTGTCTCCCTAAAAATCCCTCTATTTTTGGTCCAAATCCCCTGCTTGTTAAAGCCTATACCCCTTATCTGGGTGGCTGGACTTACGACATGTAAGAGATTACCGAACAGCTTTCACACGCAAACTGGGTGTCGGGTTTTCTATATTTGGTATGTTTGTCTTGAATATTGATATGACTTGTTTGGTAAAATAAAATGAATTACACACCATAATGAGGGTCACCTCTAACTAACTATTCATCCATTACAAGATATAATATCATGCCTTTACTCAGTGTCACCATGCTACCAGACCCATTCCCAATGGCAAATATGCTTACTTTTTCCCAATCTTAAAATAAAAATCCCAATCAAACTAAAATTCTCGATATCAAAATTGACAAATTTTCTGGAGTTCATTCCAGTATGGTATCAGACAGACATTTCATTGTCAAATTTTAATGTATTTTTTATACTTTGAATGTTATTTACAATTTTGCACAATTCAAGATACTATGCAAACAGCATGAAAGAGGTTCTAAAAGGTAACAAATATTTTTTCCCAGTTAAGCAATTGTACAATGCAAAATTTCCCAAACTGGGCATGGTACTTTTCCCCAAAATGGCTACGAAAAGGCCTGGATATTTCGTGTATTTATGCTGTTAAAATGTTGACTGTATATAATTATGTTACATGTATGTTTATGCTAGGACCCACATGGATGATTGGGAAACCAAATGTGTAAGCCTCATCAAATATAAGTTTTTTTTCATACTTACTAAACAAATAGCTATAGAACTATCAATAAGGGAAAAAAATCATGTCAGTGCTATTCATTGATTATTATCTTCTTTTTTTAAATACATGTATCAACTTATCAAAGTTTTATGAAATACCTGTCTGAGCTACTGTTGAAATAATCTCCCACGATTTTTGTATATTTTCAAAACATTCTCTGTTCACTGATGTAAACACATTGGCTATAACTTTGTTAAATGCCTCACATGGTGTTAAACCTGTGAATTGCCAGATTGGTGCAGATGCAGCCAGTGCTCTATAAAATATACATATTTTACAATTATATGATGTTTATAAGATAAGTTAGCTTGAAAGCTTAATTACATGAAAGAATTTAAAGGCCTCTGCAGAAATCAAACTTACCGCTGTTGCATGCAAGTGATTTAAAGTCAATATCAGATGAAACAATTCGACCAAAAACAAATTAGTACTTATCTCCCCTATCATATTGCTATAAAATGCACTTAAACATTGTCTAAAGATTACCTAAAAAACGTGAATTTTAAGCTTAACTAACTTTTAAACCCTTTACAAACTATATATGTTTCAAATTGATATCCATGCAGAATTCAGAGATATAAATGGAAATGTAAAATTACATGAAAAATCAGTCACATTCTACCTACCCTACAACAACATTTGGATATTTAATTCTCAGCCAGGCAGAAAGCATGCCCCCATATGAGCCCCCAAATGCCACAACTGAGCTGTTCTGGGCACCTGGTATAGTCTGTTTTAGATTCTTGATGAGTACTACAAAATCTGCCAACGCTTGTTCTGATGTTAAATAATTCATGTGTTTTGGTGACTGTAAAATAACGTAAACAAAATCAGTACATTTATAATATTATCATCTTCAACATTGTAGAAGCAATTACTATCTAGTTTCTATACAGAATCTTTTTTTTAAAGAATTTATTTTCTCCAGCATTTTGAAGGATTAAGCCCTTTTTTACCAAAGGGAAACACAAAAGTTTACAAATTACATGATTGTATTTATAACTTAAACAAACAAAGAAGAGGACATCAATGATGTTCACAATAACAATGAGTTGATGTCATAAATATGTTAGCATATTGCCTAATTTTTTTATATTTTAATTAAATAGTACAATACTATATACAGTACAACTTCTACAAAGCATCCTTAAGTAAAGCAATAAAAAACACCCTCTTTATAGTCAGTATCAATTCCCCTTTGCCCAGATTTCTGAAAATTGTGTGGAATTTCAATGTTTTTAAGGAAATTTTTATGCAAAAATGAAGAGTATTCAACGCAGAACATTTGATGACTTCAGAAACAATTCCTTGTTTGATGCAAGCAAAATATAGAGTGTTTGACAAATAAATTTTGCACAAATAAAAATTTGAACATTGCCATGTTTGATGTGGAATTCGGAAAATGTCTGTGACTAATCAGAAATATTGAATGTGAAAATAATTTGCAAAATTTGAAAATCTGGGCTAATGGCCTTCTAAATGAAAGTCTGAACAATAAATAAACCCCTCAAGTTCAACATCTCTGCAACAACCAAAATCTGTGTCTCACATAGGGTCTTGCTCTGCAGAGGTTTTACTGTATTGAACATTGATGCAGAACGTGTATGGCTGTATGCTACAATCAAAGTATAAATGAGCCGCGTCATGACAAAACCAACATAGTGTGTTTGCGACCAGCATGGATCCAGACCAGCCTGTGCATCTGCGCAGTCTGATCAGGATCCATGCTGTTCGCTTACCAATTCTATTACAAGTTGAGAAACTGATAGCGAACAGTATGGATCCTGATCAGACTGCGCGGATGCGCAGGCTGGTCTGGATCCATGCTGGTCGCAAACCCATTATGTTGGTTTTGTCATGACGCGGCTCAAATGTACGTAAAAAGAGGATGTTGTACGAGTGTTAATTTAATACTAAAATTATTGAACCAGTTGAATAAAATCATATTATGCGAGCCTCTGTCAAGCATAATATTGTTTTATTCAACGAGTTCAATAATTATAATATCATTTTTATCAAATGGCTTTATTACACTCCTGCACCATGGTTTATGTGATAAAATCTGTTTCAACATACTTTATAAGCATCAGGCCCGTATGGAATAGATTCACCATAATATCTGTGTTCTGCAAACACCAACAATGCATTGAATTCACCAGCTATGTCCCACATAAAGCCCTGTCAAATACAAAAGAAGTAGAAAAATAGCTGTTAAATACTCTATCAGCCTTAAACTGCTGGAAATGAAAGTAATTATCCTTTGCCATCAGTGTAGAGCCAGGCCAGTATGCACTACTGTGCAGTCTACCAAGCTCTAGACTGTTAACTATTTAATCCAACTTCAAATTTTCATATTGTTACCACCAAGAATGATAATGGACAATTTCAAAAATAGAAGCTGGACTGGTCTTTGTTAGAAATACATATATAGCAGGTTAAGACTTAAAACAGACCATTGGCAATAACTTAAAAACAATGTACATAGGTACCTAGGGTAGAGGGTAGTTATTTTCTGTGGCGCCATAAGCAGTAGAGTGAAAGACACTTCAAGGGATGACAGTTGGATTTCAGAATTTCTAGCAGTCCCATGAACATAGGTAAACCATGTGCATGAAACCTGAACTATTATAAAAATGCATTTACTTATTTCAAAATAAGTCTTGTTATTATTAAAACATGTAAACATGACGTAGCCATACTGTTAACAGAATAATAACATGAATAAAAACATACTGTATTATTACAGAACCAAGCAATGTCCCCTTCATTCCCAGTGTAAAAAAATATTGGCCCACCATTCTTGTTCCAATATTGGTCCGCTATCAGGTACCGTTGCTTGTATGTATCATCATTTTCAAAACCAAAATGGTCAACCTGAAATAAAAGCTAAATTAAAGTACAGGTTTTACAAATTACAGTTGCAATAGATATTTCATAATACATTTGTATAGTAAGAGTATAAGTCACTAAAGTCAGTTTACTTTTATACAATAAGAAAATTAAAACATTAATCACAGACTTTCATTTGCTCACTATTTAACCATCTTTCATTGTTTGTTTTACTTGCTCATTAGTCTCTTGTTTGTAATTGTTAAAAGAAATAACACTAAATGTATTCTTTTTATCATATGAAACATTTTTATACCAGTACACCTCTAGGTAGGTGGAAAACACTGAAAGTGTCTCTGAAAAATCCCAAGGGTGTAACCCAGGACCTCAGGAGTGATAATCAGTGGTTAACCAACTGAACTATCGCGTCATCTGTTATTGTGGCGAACCGTTACATTGCCACACAATGCCTGGCCCTGGACAAATTACTTGCCTTTTTGGGTCGAAAATATTCGGCAATAATTTTATTGTTTAAAACTTCTCCAAATATTACCTTTTGAACAAAATATTCGGTGACATAAGTGTAGTTGCTCTGTGCAGCTTGTTTATAACGATGCCGATGAGGAAATCTTACTTTACCAGTCGAAAATCCGACAAAAACTATGCTGACAATCAAGAATAAGTACGAATGCTTCATTTTTATAAATCACATGACAAGCACGTGACCAATCGCAACTTTTCGGCCTTTTCCGTCAGTATTCGGATAGATCCGATTGGCACATGAACCATTTTAGGGTCTCTCTTATGGCCATCAATCGCTACAGTGATTGTGGGCCATAAACCGCTGGGTACTAGAACACTAAATCTGTGTATTTTCTTCCTCGGTCCGCCTATCATACAGCTTATTACGGTACGTTTAAAAAGTATTGTAGAACTCTATCAAATGGAAAAAAATCTTTATAACATTACATATAAAGAACAGTGGTGAACGTAACGAATGGTTGTCCAGCAAGACTTATTATGATAATTCGTATATAATTGCTTCTTATAGTCCCGTGTAAAAAACTTAAATGCTGGCAGTTATAGACTGTCTATTTGCTTGTGGACAGCGACATATGGCCCCATGTAAGAACTGAAACGACTTTAGTAATAGGCTATATATTTCTCTTGTAGGTAGCCACGTATGGCCCCGTTAAAAAAACCTTAAATATCGGGGGTACTGGACTGCCTATTCGCCTGGGGACAGATACATATGGCCCATGTAAAAACTGAAACGAC